GTCTCTCAATCATAGGGTGGTTTTGGGACGTTAAACCCCACAATCAATCAATCAATTGTGCCCAAGTGTGCATCTATTCTGTACTTCATGAACAACCACTAGAATGTTATTTCTTTTCTTTTTTCTTTCAATCATACGTGAGCACCGTATATATGGAGCTTAGTGTGCCATTGTTTCTGTTGCCTTGTACAAATGGGAGGTGGGGCTAGTCAAGCTGCTATAGTGCAGCTTTTTTCCTACTTTCCATGCCACAATTGTTTCTTGTTTGTGTAAATCACGGTGTATCGTTGTGGTGAAATAAATTTCAACTTTCAACTTTAAGCTCGTTAAGAGTTCATTCAGCCGTACAAATATCCCGGATACAGAGAAGTGTGACGCTCATAAAATGCTGATAAGACATTTCATTTTAAAGACAATTTTCTCGCGGCGCGCGAACCGGCATCGACACTAACTTGACGTCAGGCTACAGTACTAATCCTGGTGTCTCCACGCAGCAGTTTGGCTAGCTGTGATGACGTCATAGCCGCTTGGGCTCGGCTTCTCGATCGTCTCCTCGCGCCGTGTGGTCCCTGGCATGCAGCGTATACCGGTGAAGGGGTCTAGCAGAGTCTGACATAGCGTACGCGCACGCGAATACAAGATATACGCTTATCAGTGGGCAAAGTAATTGTTTTGATTTCAAATTTGTGATCATGGCACCAATAGTTTGCCCTGTGGATTCTTGCGGGACAATGGTGCAACTTTCACCGGTTCCAGTCGAATTCGGGGCTGAGACAAGCGTGGGTCGACGGCGTGCGCCGCGGCCGATGGAGGAGACTGGACGCCAACCAAGAGGAGTTGAGTGTACTCTTCCTTTTAAACGAGTTCACGCGCAACATGTCGCTACTCGCCCCTTCGAATTGTTTTAAAAGTGATGCCATCCTATCGTTGTGGTCCCCTGCCGCGACCGTTGCCACCCGTGAAGGGTCAAGCAGACGATCGGAGAAGCTACGCGTGGACAAATCACGAAAACTTGCTCGTGCACATACTACCACCTGGTGGCACTGCTTATACCACGTGGTGACGTCAGGGTACAGTAGCAACCGAAACTTGCTTTTAAAAGCGAGCTGTAATTTTTCAGGGCGTACCCACGCTTACCGGTACATTTCCTACGTTCTCGGGGACTCGTCCTCTCATATGACGCAAAAACAAAAATACGATAAGCGAAAAAAAATTTTTGTCCGCACCCCTTTAAACCTAGAAATTAACGTCCACGTGCCATCAGTCAGCGCAGGCCTGAATGTGCCGAAACATTTCCGACTGCTTTCACTCAGTGTGTCTGAAGGACGGTAACCGTTAGGTGCACATTCTGGAATGCACCTGCGATCCTGCTTGAATGAACCATGACTCATTTTTTCAGCCCTGATTCCAGCTATTGCTGAAAATTATGCCAGATGTGTAGTTATGATACAAAAACCGCGGTTTCCGCAACATTGAATAGCAGTTCTGCGTTTACATGGTTCAATTCTCTACCACCAGATGGCGCCACCAACGCAATCACGCATATTCCTGAATGGCGGCGGGGCAGAAAAAAAAGCAGGTATGCATGGGATTGAGAAATCATGTATCAATCAGCAGGCATCATATGTATCAACTCATTGACAAGGCAAAAGAAGGTTGACAGGAGCCCGCGTAGGGCTAATAATGTCGTGACCTTGCCCCAAAAGCGCTCTGCAGGAAGTTGCGACTCTGTGTTGTTTTTATCACTCCCGTGCAATGTCAGGAAAAAGGCGATCCCACTCTCGTTGAGAAAGCAGGCTTTCCCACTAACCAGGCATCCTCGGCTAACGTGCTTAGGCGCTTTGTCGTTGGCCGACCATCTTTGCTGTATGTATACTAATACGAGATTGCCCTGAATTTGCGAATGCTTTCCTTTGCTTTGTAGCTCTTTGTTTTACAATGCCGAAATTTAGTTGGGAATTCTGTACCGTATTTAATTAATGGTAGAGCCTTCAATTATGGCCAATGTTAGCGTCACTTTGAAACACCCGCCTAAAATCGTGAGAAACGAGCACCCCAGCGTGGGACATCCATGATCACTTCGCTGTTGGTGGGCGCATAGTCCCATAATGAAGATGAAGCAGCGTGGTTAGAATAAAAACAACAACAAAAAAAAACGGCAACAAGAGAAGGCACTTGTCACGTGGTCTTCGTTGTTTTGTAGTCTTTTTTTTTATCGCGCTGTTCCGTCCACAGCTCAAGCTTGGGCGGTGTTGAAAGCAGTTTTCAAACAGGGATCCCTAACGCGGTAAAAAATGAAATGATGCGCATGTTGAGAATCAAATGACGTGGACGCGGTAAAAGACGAACTGATGTGCGCGGTTAAAGAGTAAAACGGTGTCGGTATTTTCAACCACTGTTCAAGCATGGGCGACGTTGAAAGCGCAGTTTGCAAATTATGGTGCCCGCGCGTGGTAGACGACGAAACGATGTGGACGTTAGGAATCAAACGATGCGGATGCGGCGATGGGGACTCGGTCGCTGGATTTCGTGCCGACCGGTTGTGCCCTGCGATCTCCGACGACAGCGCAGCTCTGGCCGACTGGCTCACCCTACGCCGTCTCCTGACGCCGACAAGAGCTCTCGCTGAGTGGTGCCGCGTCCTCGGACTATTTTGACTACGTCCATCTTTCCCATCTTCTCCTTACTTCCGTATGTGGCTGTCCCTGCCCCTCTCTCTACACCTTTTAATCCATCCTTACCCCCATCCATCGTGAGCTACTGTTCAGGTGTACTCCCTCTGAGAGACAGTTATGGGGCTCACTTTTATCTTCAGTTAGGAATCATTTTGTGTGTGTGTGTGCGGCAACGCACGAAACGGTGTGTGCGGTAAAGAATGAAAACGGTGTCGGTTTTGAGCCATGCCTCATCAGTTAAGCCTGCTATGCACGCACTAGACTGCTAGGATCACGTCCACTCAGCCAGAACATCTTGACAGCAGCCAGACAACAGAGCGAGAATGGCGAGCAACAAAAGCCCTCGTCTGGTGCGTTGACAATACTCAATAGTCAAGAAGCGAACCTTCAAGGAAAACAGGGCATGAAACAGCTCCCCTATATACGAGACAAAAGTTACAAGAACCACACATACATAGCGCAGTGTATGTGTGCTTGTAACTTTTTTTGTGCCGTCCAGCCGCACTTTTTCACACTCAGTATGCACCAACTGGTCCACCAACAATCAGTGTTGCAAAACTGAGCACTCGCCAGAATCAAGGACAAAAGAAAAGAACACTATGGTAGCGAATGGACACGACCGTTCGAGGCGTCACCTGGACTGTCACCGTCACCTGGAAGGCAAGAGCGGCAGCCGCGGAGCGCTAGGCGCTCTTGCCTAAACAATAGCTCGCTAGACTTGGATAATATGTCGGCACACACGGGTAATATCTTCGTATAACAGAACCAAAAGCTACGCAGTGATAGTGTCAATCAAACTCAGGGCACACTGTGCTGCAGTCCTGTCCTTGTAGTGGTAAGACTTCGCAATTAAGCGCCCAGCATATTCTTCTGGCGTGTTGCCACGGGTCCGGTGCAGTGCAGTAAATTCAATGTATGCAGTGATAGGCGAGAAGATGACGATTTTTCCATGGTGTCTGCTTGTGCTGACATCCAGTGTGGCCTATGTTGGTAGCGCGTTCGCTCAACGCATTTGAGGCTACTTGATGCCATTTGACCACGTCATTGCTGCGCTGTCTATGACGTTGATTAAGATTTGCACATTCACAGGTGCATGGAACTTCAGTCTCCACAGACTATCTTGTACATTAAGTAACGTTAATTAGCATCTTAGACAGTACCCTAATAACGTGACCAAGAACCTTGTGGCCTCAAAATGCATGAACCGAACGCGTCATCGACACAGGCCACACATTTACGGGACTTATATGGGCACATATAGTCCTCATCTTCTCCCCTACTGCTGACATCGCTACGCATTTAATCTACTAAACTTCTGGCAGCATGCCAGAAGAGTTGGCAAGATGCTAGCTCACTTTAACCACGACGCAAGGAGAGCTTTTTGTGCATACACTCCGTAGAGGAGAATACATCCGCGAGAATTCCGAAAAGTTTTGTAAAACAGCGCGTTCTCCTATGTAGCACTTGTAATGGTCCCCATTTTGCCAGTACTAGCATGTGAGTACCTGGAGGTGGCAAGCATGTTGCACGATCTTACAGAATCGTCGTTTCATTTACGCGCTAGGCAAAAACAAGAATTATCGATGCATTCTGTCTTCACCGCAGGTATACATAGTCCAATGATCTCAATCTTTTTAAAATAAGTGCAGGTAACCAAACTGCTCACGCATAACTGCGTTAGCGAGTTATATGCCCGGCGACTACTTTTATAATCTGTTTCCCTAAAGCGAATTACACCAATTGCCTTGGTCAGGCACTTGCGAAAAACATTCAAGCAGTTTCAGAACGATAGCGAAAAACCACGAATATCACTGATAATCCAAAAGTATTTTCTGCGCAATAGGCACGAAATCCAACTAGATACATCAACGTCGTACGCATTTCGATAATCTTTTCTTAGAGCTCGGAAACCGCGGGCAGGGATTCAAAATGCATAACGTTCTTCTTCGTGTTGTAATCGAGGGTTATAATAATACTATCCCCTCGGCTAACTTGCTCCCGTTATGAATTCCGCATATAAATGAAGAGCACAACATGTAAATACACATTGCCGAAATGCAACTTTGCGTTTGCTCACTCAATGTAAGAGGCGATCTAATACCCGTGGTCACTAGGTTTTCTTTTCTTTATTGATTTCCTTTTTTTACTAGTTTTTTAGTTTGTGTCTAGCAAAACTACGAGCCACATTGAGTGAACAGAGCACGAAATATATACATATATATTTAGGGAACACGGGTTCGAACGAATATCCACTGACCAAGGTACGCCTACGAGAACGTTCACGAGCTAATACTAGCTGAGCACAACCACAAGACGACCACGTACCCCATTGCGCAGTTCCCGGAGGTTGTGGTTCCTGCTGGTGGCGAGGAATCCGTTGGTCCTTTCCATCACGACTGTCGATGTGCACAGAGCCGGCACGACCGAAGGAACGCACCCGGCGGAAGGGCCGAAGAGGCCCTGGAACAGTGCACGGTAGACTGTCAACGCGCAGTCGATAGAGAGGCACACATATCGGCTGCACCAATGTCCGAGGTAGTCGCCACTTTCTCAGAAAACGCGCACTCTCGAAGTGTTTTCTGCGAGGCAGTTCCACCGCGTCAGTTCTCGGGGTTGAACTGAACGTGGGGGGTGGTAGTGGTTAGAAGAGAATGCACCTGACTTCTTTCTGCTGCAGCCCTGTCGGGAGCACGGCACAGTGGCTAAAACTGAACGTTACCGCGCGAGGAGCCGAGTTGTTATACGTTTTCTGAGAGAGTGCACGGGAGGGGAGAGGGAAGAAAGGGTTGAGGCGGTTGCAGCATGGCTCACACCGTACTCCGTAGGCGTCTGGCGAGAGAGGAGTTGTGGAAAGTCTTTCCCCTTCCGCACCGCCTTGTCGCGTGACCATCGGGCGCCAGGGAAAGGAGCTGAGCGATTGGCGAAAAAGGGTTGAGAGGAGCGGTGCAGAAGAATGAGGGGTGCCTTGCGAGTGAGAGAAGCAACAACGAGGCAGGACTTGAGAGAGGGTGTTCTGAACAACAGTACAGTGTGCCTATGTGTTCTTCTCTCTCCCCAAGTATCAAGAAGAAGCCCGGTTTTGGTTGTTCGACCCTTTCGCAACTCGGAAAAGCTGCAAGTTACGGCGTGGCTAGTGGCTTGCCTGCGTGGTTTTGGGAAAACTGTACGTCCGCGAGTGACTGAGCCCTGCCGTAGAAGCAAATGCAGAGTGAGAGATTTAATTCAGCGTCGGCGCGCTATCGGCGGTCTAGGCAATGGCGTCAGCGTACCGCGAACGCTCCTTGTGGGAAGCGAGTGTTTCAGGAGTGCCAGTTTAACGTGCAGAAAATAACTAAATGTCTCATCGGGATTGTCCGCCACAGCTTCCTTTCTTTAATTTTTAGCCACGCGACTTGCTAATTGGATATGGTAACGGGGGCAGATAAAGTCGTTAATCGAGGACTTGCCCACTCGGGTAACCGACGTTCCGAACACAGTGGCATTTTCGATCTTGCGTTATGTCATTATCGTAACGCGACACCGCTGAAGTGACCTCTGATTACGTTATGTAATTATGGTAACGTAGCTTGTCGCTTACCGTATTGCGAATGCGCATTTAAAACAAGCTATTCCGGGAAGCCAACTATGGTAAACATATCTACTAACCTGGCTGGATCGAAAAAAAAAAAACTTTTCGCCGGTATCGGCCAGGTTCTCATACGTGTCGCGCCCCGACCTGCCATTCTAGCTTAAGCGGCTCTTGGGTTATACTGCTAAGCTCGAGGTCACGGGCTTGAATCCCGGTCACGACACCCGTCACAGTTTTGATGGGGATGAGATGCAGACAAATAAAAAAAAACTGTGGGCTTAGATTTACGTCCATTCTATGGAGAACCTCATGTGGTCCAAACTGTTCTGAAGCCTCACAATTATATGTCACAGATTTGCCAAGTACCGTCATGATCATAACGCGAGCAACCTTTTCAATCAGGTGGGCATAATACGCCCTATAGAACAACACGTTCTAATGCCCTTAGATCACCTTTATGCAAGCGCCCCTTTCCGGAAAGCGCCTTTTCCTTTTCAACCTTTGCTCCGCCACAGAATCCTGCAGCGGCTGTTGCAAGGTGCCCGCGTTCTGAGGGCATTCTGCCTTGGCACAAGCACTGTCACGCAGTCGGCCACAGGGAAACCGGCGAAAACCGTGACGCGGCGACGGAAGGAAAACTTGCCTGACGACAACATGCGAGCCGTGCTTTGTCTTCTTTGTGTGCAGGCACGTGGCCAGAAATATTTTTCGGGATGGGAGGTGTCAAAGACGTTGAAAAACACTTCTTTTGTACTTAACCCGCACCTGCATATTTCGTGGCGTGATAATCCCACCACAAAATGAGAAACCTGTGTTGACGCCGCCACTGACCTCTCTGCGCTAAATGGATACCCCTCACCTCCCCCCCCCCCCCAAATTCTTTCTCGGTCGGGTAAGAAATGAGCAAATAGGAATGTGTTCAAACGCTAAAAAGCGCATTTGTATGCCTTTAACTAAAAGCAAAGTAAAAAAAAAAACATTCATAAACGACCGCCGTATTTGTAAAAAATGGTTGCCACAGTTGATGTATCCAAGTACTGAGGTGTCATGTTTTCTTTCAATTGTTCGGGCAACACGCATTGTTCGTGGAAAGCACGAGATGAAGTAAAGCTGGACGGGCGTCGAACAGGTGTCGCGACAGTGAATCGTGTGTAAGACCGGTGTTGGAGTATGCATGCCCCTCCGCTTTAACGCTCAAGGGCAGTGCGGGGTCATTCTTGAATTACAAAAAGTAAAAGTCAGTGGCAAGAATACATCTGAGCTTCGTAATCTCGTATGCAGTTATGCATGGTGGTGCTTTTCCTGTCCTGTGAAAACGTATCCAAGTCCTCCATGAAGAAGGCTTTCCGGTTTCAAACTTCTGGAGATGCTAAAGCCTGCCTCCAGATTTTTTATAGAAATCTTCCATTGTTTTACTCCGGAACCTTGAAGCATAACGCCGAATGAAGCGAAAACAGAAAACAGCGTTTTATCAGTATGTACGGCCAAGCTAATAGGACAAATGAAAACTCGCACTTCATAACGTGAAGGTAGTTTTATAGAGGAGCTGTAGTTTCTTTCTTATGAAACGAGTGCCAGGCGTTGGTGCGACGCAACCAAGTAAATGGACCCTTTGCAGAAATCAGCGAGGCGGCTTTCCTGGAAGGTTGTTTTCTAACCAAAAGAAGAAGAAGAAAGAAACTCTCGTGCCCAGACTGCTTTTCCTGCTCACTGTGCTTTTCTTGCTCACTGTGACACGCGAGTGCGACAAAATGACTTTTGTGGTTGTCCCTCTTTGAACGAACCCTCAGATCACATGGCGGAAGAGACACCTGTCGTTAACGACGCCGCTGCCGTGTCGACAACAACAGCTCGTCTACAAATGTGGTGGAGGGCTGCCGCCAAATAAGGACTGACAGTACAGACACGGCACTTCTATAGTGTAAAAACACGTGTGCGAATAGTGTGTGCCCCGCTGTCTATTCTAAGACTTCCTATCGCTCGTTTTTTTTTTCCTTTTTTTAACCGGCTAGCTAACAATTACTGTGACCACCTGATTCAAAGGGAACAGCCACCTATCATCATCATCGTCATCGTCGTACAGAAGGGTGCGGGGGAAGGCAAAAACACAATGAGTGGGAAAAGCAGTGTGGGAACGAGACCTTTCGGTTAAAAAACAGCGTTGCAGAAAAGCCAGCTTGGAGGTCTGCGCAGATGCACGGTCAATTTAACGCACTTCTCGTTGCGCAAACGTTGCGGGTTTAAATGTCACCGAAAAAAAGTGACAACCTTCTGTTTTTAATTTTAAAGGAAGTCAAAAGTTCTACAGCGAAACATGACAATTAGTCTTCCCAATGCTTTGTTTAGCCTGATAGTCCATTGACTTCTACCATTCTGATATATAATAACGCTATCAAACAAAAAAGGCGACGAATCATTTTAATATTTCAACGTTACGTTCCATCCGTACTTAAGGGGTTTACAAGTTTGGGAGAGGGGATGCTCTATTCTTGAAATCAACTATTGCAAGAAACTGAGACGGGAAACTGGCGGAACAAGTTTTTTGGGGGACGGTGGACGCGAAAGGATGACGCTGGAGTCACTGACTCGACCCCGGCTTGGAAAGGTTCGCGTAGCAGCTGGACCACGTTTTTTTTTTAAGGCACGCAAAACAGACAGAATGTTCATCCTTCTATTGTTATCTGTTATCTGGCCCACGTTGCCTCTTCTTGGTGCTCTCCTCAACCTTGAAGGGAATGTATTCCTTTCTGAACTCTTTCTCGGTATGGTAGTACAAAAGCTGACATGACGTTCAAGCTTGTGCGGAGGAGATGCATTCACCTTACGAATTCCACGTATGAGCAGCCGACACATGAGCCTCTGGCCGTGAAACTGTGATTAGGCATACTTTCTGCGACCCTCCCCCTCCTCCTCTCTGGAACTGTTCACAAAGACGGTGGTGTTGGTTAGAAAAGAAGAAGCTGCCTAATTGCTGCAGCCTCGGTAGGGAGAACGGCGCAGCACCAGAATGTGCAGCTTTACTGAAGAGCGTTCGCCCGCAGCAAACTCTCCTTCACGGGACAATTCATGAGCAAAGTTCATAGAATTACTGTCTCAGAGGAAGGCTGTGCAACCGCTGCCACACACCCACAAGTCTAACTCAACGACTTTTGCACGTCCTGCCTGCCTGGGCGGGCAAATTTTGTTTTCGTTATTTTTCACACCGTCATCGTTATGACTCCTTCACTCCCAAACTTGTGAAGTATGAAAAACTAATGACAAACCACGTTCATGGTGTTACTGCGCAAAAGACGGACGAGGACACAAAATAAGAAGCTATTTTGCGTTGACGACAGTTTTGAGCTCAAGAAAAAAAATAAAGACACACACACACATTCACAAGAGTAAAGGACAGGACGAACACTTGTATCCCCGTCAGTTTTTTTTTTTTTTTTTTTTGCGCCGTTACACCGATGGACAGTATCAACTGGCCCACCTCAGCCTTTTGAACTAAAAACTAGTTTATACTCCCCAAATTTTCTTTTAATATATTTCTTCTTTTTTTTTTGGTGTCAGGCATATTTGGAGCCGCTCTAAGGGCATTTTTGCGGCAGCCACGGAGGCACAATAATCATAACTTGCAGAGAATCACTCCAGAAAAACTGTAAGGGATGTTATTTATAGTAGCTACGTAGTAAATGTGAACAAAGTAAAGTGGAGCGGAAGGACAACTTGCCCCCGGCAGGGACCGAATTCTGCGACCTTCGATTTACGCGACCGGTGCTGCGCCAGTACAGCGGCGCTTATTCGCATGTTCACTCCATTGGGTTATGTCCGTGCATTT